TTTTGACGAGAAATTCAACCAGTAGTTTACGCCCACTCGTATAATAATAAGCAATAATGCAATAATGACTTGGTTCAAGCGTTATATTTTAGTCGGTATGTAAAATTACATTGGCAATATGGAAATTAGAAATTGAGAGAGAAGGAGGTGTTGTTATGGTTGCTCATTTTCTAAATGAAATGTTATTACTTTCTCCTTTGGAATAATCGTTTTAAATTTTCATTGGTGAATATTTTGTTTTATTTCTATCCTTATAATATTGAATGTACAATATACCTTATATATGTGTAGGTACTTTTTTTTATTTTTATTTTTTTCTTTACGAGATTATTACTTCATTTTGAAAACATTTATATTTTTAAAACGTGACAAATATTTGTAAAACCTTTTCCAAGCGACATTAATCTCAATGAGCCGCAGTTGTGCCGAAAGAAACTGCAAAAATGAATAAAAGAGGGAAAAAAAAACCAAAAAGCACGCAATCTTTAGTTTGAACTCATTTGTACATCGATCTTTTAGAGTCAAATACGCCAAATTTTGATCGTTTGGTTGCGCCTACACCTCGTTGCAGCACAATAAAAGCACAAAATGTAAAATAAAAAATTAAAGTGCTTTGGAAATCATTAGATTTGACACGGAACCACCAATATTTAAAAAAACACACGTTATATTATTATTCTACTTTGATAAATTGATACATATTTTTCCCCCATCAATTTAAATGAGAATAATCAATGCAGAGTCTGCAAACATCTCAAAATCCTGAGTTAAAAAACGCTGACTATGCGAGTATAAATATTGAAGCCGAACAGAGCGGAGCGGCGTGCTGCCAGCGCGAGAGGCTCACTGGCGCCTACAAACCTAAGTGGATACTTCTCGCATTGCAAAATGCTTGAAGTATCCACTTAGGTTTGTAGGGGCCAATGCGCGCCGCATTTACTGCGGCGCCTGAGGCAACTATTTCACAACAGAAGTGTTGCACAGTATTATACGAAACTGAACGTATTAAGAATGACAGGCATCCTTTAAAAGTACAGATCTTTTCTCGCAAAATAAATCAAGACACTTATCGTGCTCAGGAAAAATCTAAGAGCCTTTAGCTGAGGCAAATATGGAGGTTTATCCGGTTCAGGTATAACAAGGTGGGAATTTCTTGAAATATAATTAAGTCCTGTTACACGAAAGAGGTGTAGAGAGTTTTCGTGAATTTTGTCTCATGGAATTGACGCTCCCCCATGTTTACCAAAACTCTCAACTATATATTATTCTCCGTTGGACCAAACAGACAAAACAAAAAAAACAAGCAAACCCTCATTCTTCCAAGACATTATATACATTATTTTCATCTAAAAACGTAGTGAGCAATTGGATTGCATTTTACAAAAAGGAACCACTAGCATTGCAATGTTGCTAAGATTGTGCAACTTCTTTTGTCTTGGAGGAAAAACCCGATTATCCATTAATAGTTTCTATTTTACTCGCTAAAAACTGTGAATTTAAGACAAAAAGTACCATCTAAATTTCATAGCTTTTAACGATTTCCGCAATTTTATTGCAAAGGATGAAGTTGCACAATCTTAGCATCATTGCAATGCTAGTGGTTCCTTTTTGCAATATGCAATCCAATTGTCGTTTGTATTTACATGTTGGCCAATTAACTTTGGGTCTCAACTGGCACGTGGACCAAAATTTCCGTGCCGAAAAAACGCGTGGACGTAAATTACTGGAAAAAACAGGTAAGCGGACAAAAAATTGTCGACGAAATGTCCTATAACCGGCGCGCTAGGGCGCTCTGCGACGCCTACTGTCCACAGAAATCTGTCATGGTAGAGATCCTCCATCTCTCCATCTCTTCATGGATGCCCTCTACCCACCGTTTGGCTGGACGCCCTCTCCGTCGCCTACCTGGGGGGACCCACTCCAACACCTTCTTCGGCAACCTGGTATCAGCCATTCTCTGCACATGCCCATACCATACCAATTGCTTGATCATGATATCGTGCAAAACTGTCCCCTTAACTCCCTTTATCACTTGGACACGTTCATTCTTGATACGTTCTCTCCTCGAGATTCCAGCCGATCTTCGCCAGAAATCCATTTCTGTCGCCTTGAGCATTTCTTGGGTCCGCTTCAACAACTGCCACACTTCACTGCCATAGGTCATTAAAGGTTTGACAACCGAATTATAAATCCTCTTTTTGTTGTCCTTGGAGATTCTTCGGTCCCAAAGAATCCCATTAAGCATGGCGATGCCTTTCCTTCCTTGCAGATTACGGTTCCGAATGGCCTGAGCATACTTCCCATCCGAACTCAGCAACCTAGCTTCTGAGTATTACACATGAAAATTGAAAGTTATCCCTCCATTTTTAGTATCTTAAACCCAGTCTGAAATGTTTTCGGGTCATTTGTATACAAATTAAGGAAATTCTCAAAAATACAACCAAAACACTCGCAAGATATGTTCATAAAAATACATCCGTTGGTTAAAAGTCCTTTTGTGGATTACAATAACTGTGTATGTTCCGCTGTATTGTATTTAAGAGCGAAGGAAAAATACTTTCAAATTTGTGTCCCTCGGGAAAAAATTGGATACCAAGTTTCATGAAAATTCGTCAGTAATCTATCATTTCACGGATTTACAACCATGCTGAAGATGTTTTTTCTGTCATGTTTGATTTGACACTGGCGTAAAAAAAGATAAAGTCATAAATTTTAGGATAAAAATACCCTAACATACCAAATTTACATTAGCAACATCAATTCAACGAGAAAACTGCGAAAAATTGGGCGGGCTTTTGGCCTCTTTACCGCTTTGTAACTCGAAAACGGTTCCTGGACTCATTTTGAGATGTTTCTAAAGTTTACGTCATCATACACTCTCATTTAAGCTACTCGTAGTAGCCAATGTACGAATCGACCGCTTAAAAAGAGACTTGAAGAAGCCTCTTTTTGGGAGGCTCTTTGATTATTTAATTCTTAAATTTCTTCTTCCCTTTTTTTATAAAATACGTAAACCCCACGAGTGGCTCTTAAATGATGAGCAAATTTTACCTAGCAGCGAAAAAAAGTCACATCTTCATCATCAAGGTAGAGGAAAGAGGGTGTTGACCAAGCAAAATGATAATTTTCATTTCAACCACGTGCCCCTTAATAATTCCTTCCGAGATGTGGATTCAGCAATTTGGCAGCACTGTCTTCCTTCCATTTAAATCTGTGGTGAATAATCTATTCTGGTCGGAGCACCTGGCCCCTCCTAGAATCGATACATTTCCATATGTTTGAATGAGTGAAAACAACATTGCAAATTGCTGGATTGGCCAATGGTCCTTCCTGATTAGTTCATAAGAAAATAAAAATCCTAATTTCACGGGGTTTTTATCAAATGAAAATGTCTACAGCTTGAAAGACCTACAAAAAATAGAAGTCTCTTGGCTTCGGGAGGAAGAAATTCTGATTCCTTAAAATCGACTCACCATGCAGCACCGCCGTTCACTAATCCGCCAAAGTTAAACCAACCTAGAAGAAGCTTGCTATGGGCTGTCTGGGACATTCTGAATATCGATCGCCAAAGTGCGAAACCTCGAGTTATATTCCTGGTTAACCTCTTTAAGTTAATCAGGATTTTTTTATAAAAAAAATCCTCCCCTATAAATGAGTCTCAGAACAAATTTGAATCAAACATCAAACGAGCGAGTGATTCTGCTCGGCAATTTATGATTTACATATGTATTTTAAGTCTAGTGTGAGCGGTGAAGTATCGTATGAAACATAAGGCGTTTTTGACTTGTGGCAACAGTTAAACACATCTACCAACAACTCGTCTGAGAATCGCATGAATCCGCACCTTCCATCATAGGTAATTTTCTTTGAAGGCAAGCCAGAATCCAATAGGATACTATAAATTTGTTACTTGTCTTGAACAAAGAAAAAAAACCAGTAATGGTTTAAGTTAATCTGCGCGATGGGTGATGTGACGCTGGAATTAGATTGAGTTGTGAGAGAAACAAGCAAAACAAGGAACACCAAGCGAATTTCAGTACAACGCCTGGATCCAACTTTATCGTTACATAAGCGCAGTAGTTAAGGCGTTTTCAATCTCCAGGCACTTACCACTTCACCCGCAGCCCGTAGCGAGCCGTGGCGAGTGGTTGTATAACGAGAACCCAAATTGACTAAGTCTCTTTAATTTTTAGTTTTTACTACGAAGACATCCACTACGCTCGAATAGTTGCCCACACGCGTAGAGGATGCAAGTACCTACCTTCTGTGTTTCAGTTTTAATGTAGCAATGTGCTGAGTATGATTTGGACTGCATTTTGCAATTAGGAACTATGAATTCCGGCCCGGTTTAAAAACAACGTAAGTGCCGTTAGTTTCCCTATGCACATAAGTGTTTTTTTCAGATGAGACAGAATTTATAGTTCCAAATTGCAAAATGCAGTCCATTTGTGTAGTGGTTCGTGCAGATGAGGCATTCTCCTAATATGAACGAGTGGAAAGGACTGAATGAGCTCTGTCCTTTTGGATTCTCGCAGTTCAGCCCGCCGCGCCGCGCCGCTACAAGAGAAACGGTGAGTACTGGGAGAGCCAAAAACGCCTTCACCCTTGTGCATATGCAACATGGACATTTGTGGAGTTGAAATAGTTGCATCCAGGCGTTATAATGGAATCCATTTAGTGTTCGCCGCGTGCGATGCTGACTGTGGGCGATGGCCGTGTTTTTCTCACACTTCAACTTGATTTCAGCGTTGTATATCGTGCCATTGAAGTAAAATATTACTGAGTTTCAGCATCACTACTCTGTGAGGGAAATTATGACGGCGTGCCTTTTGTCATATGCCGACAAATAATTCAGGCTTATTTTCAGCTATACAATATTAAACCCATTACAGCTTCAACTAAGATTGTGTCTTCTTTTGAAGCTTACGATGGGAAAAAAGCGGTTTTTTTCCGAAAAAAGTAGGAATCTGAGTAACAAATCCACGAAAATACACCTACAATTTTCGTCAACACTGTTTATTTTTAGGTTTTTTTTCTTCGTTTTTATTACTTACTTTTTTTGGAAAGAGAATCAAAGAACTTTTGGAGACGGGAAAAAAAATTGACTGCAATTGATAGGTTACGACTTCTTACCAACGACAAAATATGTTTTTTTGAATTACTATACCGTGCCGAACAACCAAAAAACACTATTGTTGGGCCGAAGCCACTCATGGCACAAGACAGCCTTTTCGAAGGCATACAAGTAGTACTTAACACAAGACGATACTGACGACAACTCTCCAACACATTGGTGTTGGCACCTGCAGCTTGTTGTAATTCGCAACTGCATGAATTCAACCAGAATCACTAGACGTCGTCTAAAGTCATCTGTTGTCCTATTTCTTCACAAAAAAAACTAACCAAACCATAAAAAATTATCATTAAGATTCAAAGCGAAATGTCGTTTAGTTTTCTATTGAAGAATAACTAACGGGCGAGGGAATTAAACAACGTTAACTATCGTTAAACAGATTCTAGTTGAATCCGTCAAACTAATCATGTAAACAAAAAATGTCAAAAATTAACCTTTGGCGTATAAAATGTCATACTGTTACCAATAACAAGCGGATAGTACAAGTGACAAAGCAAAAATAAGAATAGAATGCTTAGACTTGACAGCATAACTGCTTTCGGAGCTTCTCGCGGATGTCAAAACCAATCCAGATCTTGGACGCAGTCGAGGGCAACTAGTCAAATTACTGGAGTCACACACCACGAATTTATCCCTAAGGGCAGAGAGGAGCTTACATTACGACGTTTTTTTCATGAAAGAACGTAATTCCGTTTCAATGTTGCCAAATTCCCCCTCGTAACTTGCATAACTATCAAGAGAATCTTAGGCATATCTGACTGAAAACACTGATTTTCCTCCCAGACTCCATGCAAAAACCAGAAAAACTTTAGATAAAAATCGCACACGTAACTTCTTGAAAAGTAAATCATATTTTTGAGTCAATTTAGCAACCTTGGAATGGAGTTGCGTTCCTTCGCTCAGGAGACAACGATTAATAAGACGTAGCTTGGCTATGCTGATATCGATTTCAAAAAACAGCTTAAGACTTCTTTACTCTTGTTAGAAACATTTGGAAACAGAGGAGACCGCTTTCCGGAAAAATTTGTCGTTTTCCGGACGGAAGAACGTATTCCGATTTTAAGTTCGTAAAATTTACTGTAGATTCTTCTTTTTCACCCGAAATTGACGGCTAAACTTTGAAAAATTGGTCACAAAACCTTGTGTAATGTATTTAATATTCTGAAGTTACCAGATGGGCAGATTATACAAAAGGTAACCAAAAAGCAATGCAGAGTTTTTTTTTTTTTTTTTTTTTTTTGGTGGCATGAACGGTAGCAGATATCAAAATGCGGTTTGAGCAGCGTTAATGTGCTATTAATGACGGGTAAAACGAGACTAACCAAAAGGCTCTAGGTCAATTTTTGACCAAGTTATAGCGTTGTGAAAATGATATCTTTGAAAGATGTCTCACCCGATCTGGAAACCAGAGCTGGAGCTTGCAGTATGAATTTCCATGACCCTCGGCAGATTAAACGAGCAGTCTTTTAGACTGATAAGTTCCATCTCTGTGCCTAGATTGACGACCACAACAATTGATGCTTCGCCATGTAGATACCTTAAAAGAGAAGGATATGAAAAAAGTAAAATTGATTTCTCTTTTATAAAAACCACGTACGTCCAATCAATTTCTATAAAAATACTGAACAACGAGGTGACAGAGTGATGGATCATCGAACACTTTAAAGGTCATTCACATTCTCAAGTGCAACTTTGCTATTTGTGCATTAGTAGAGAATTTTTTCTCGAAACAAATACGGAGTAACGAGGTAATAGAGTGGTGGATCATGGTGCACTTTAAAGATAATCCTCAAGTGCAACTTTGCCATTTTTGCATGCGTGGACAACTAGACAATTCATCATCTAACATTCGCTCTTAAAAAATAAGAGTGGATGCCATTCCGAATTGTCTCGTTAAAAGTCGGCGGCATTCTTTCTCGGGGTAGATAACCTCTTCTAAGACGTTCTTCGCACAGACGTTGTAGATAGGGAGGGGAGGAAGTACGGTGCGGCGTATGACCCTCTACTATATCTGTGACTTAGTCGCTGAGGATTAAAAAAAATGATGATTTGAGGATAAAAAAAGATTTGCATGATTCAAAGGGAGTGTAGCAAAAATTGCATTGTTCGAATTTGTGTAGCATGAATTTATGCGTATGAAGGGTGTGTATGCATGTGTAGCAATAATTTCAATAGGTAAGCTCCCTGACTGCTCCAGGACAGAACGCTTACCAGGAACCCTCCAGATTTTCAATAGCACCAAATGTCGAGTGGTCCCATCATGTATAGAAAATTATATTAATACTTAAAAAAAGTTGAAAACAAAAAAAATAAAAAGGAGAACTAAAAAATAATGTACATTTCTGAAATGAAAAAAAAATATGATAAAACTTTAAAATTAAGATATGAAACAATGGTATGCACCTAAAATTTTCGTGAACTAAATGACTTTCTATATCTATCGCCTTGTGGGCCTTACCTTTGAAAAACAAAAAGCCAAGGAGTTGGCGTGCATATGGCTAATTGTCCATTCAGGATGGTTGGTGTCCTCCTGAGTTTTATTAAACGTATACAATTGTTCAACTGGCTGTGTTTTTCCCCTAGTTGCCTCTTCACGTTGATTGCCCAGTAATTTGGGTTCACGGGCAACCATGGTTTCCTTGTTCTCGTAAAACCTACAATCAAAATACTCATATTTTAAGTATGATATCATTTTGGTAGCCACAATATCAATGAAGGCATGCCAACCCCCCCTTCTTTTAAATTATAATGTGACTGTCTAGGGGTAAAGAGCCCTTCGAAGGGGGGATTTCTATACTCATCGTACACCAAACCTTATCGTTCAGGTAACCGACGTTTTTGGTCAAAGAAACTGAAATCGGTTGAACTTACCGAGATTTGGTTTCTAATGATTTAGAACTGCGACTACCTGAACTGAAAAAGTTCGGTGCTCAATATGGACGCAATTTCAATCCCTGCAACCAAATTGCTTCTTCTCAGCCTCGGTCCAATGTGGCACTCCACGATTTTGAACGTCATGGACGCATGCACCGTCACGGTTGGAGTATCAATAGCCCATGTGCCAGATGGCGGCCGGTAATATACATACTTAAAAACCGCTTTTATAGCGCTATCTGGCGCTCTGCGACACCTAGTCGTCGAAAGTCCCCTATCCTTCGAAAGCCGTTTAAGGAGTTGGCACTCCCTCATTTCTTTCTAAAACCCCCTGTCGCCACCCTTTCTCTGGGCTTCCCCTTCGTTTCCACTCAGGGGGTAATAATTATAATTATTAAATAAATAAAGATAATTTGACAATAATTGGAATGTAAATCCTTTAACGGCATCATCATTTTCCAGGGCCGGATTAGGGATTGGGCGCGATTTTTTTAATTCTTGATCTCTTTGGGGTCTTTGAAATCTTAAAAATTGATATGGCAATGCCCTAAGAATGGAATTTTTGGATACGGGGTCTTAATGTTTTAGGATTTGGGGCCCCTAATGGTGAGTCCCTCGAGCCCCTGAGCGCTAGTCTGGTCCTGTCAATGTCTTTTTTTATACCTTGTATGTCCACGGGGCTTGTCTGGTATGGTCATGTCAATAGGATGACTGAAGAGAGGCTGCCAAAAAAGATGCTTGATTGGGTTCCTCCTGGGAGGAGACGTAGGGGACGCCCAGTGAGAGGTTGGCGACAGGGGGTGTTGAACGAGATGAGGGAGTGTCAACTCCCTGATGACCTGTGGGAAGACCGAGCTTAGTGGCGATTAGGCGTCGTAAAGCGCCAAAGAGCGCTATAAAAGCGACTCATATGTATGTATGTCCACGGGAAGTTTCTTGGGATTTGTCCCAAGTTCGAATCGCATGAATGTAACTCTTGAGCCGTTAAACGAAGCAACAAAGTATCTTCTCATTCTCTCTGATTCGCTCTAAGGACTCCACGGGGACTCTACTTGGTAATGTGATTAGTATTTACAAACTCAATATTTTCCCCAAATTCGCAAATAAGATTTTTCCCAAAGACAAATTCCATGAAACGTCCCGTGGAGACATGTCCTCAGCACAGTGGATTGAAAAAAGTTCGGCACTACTTCATTCCAGCTCTCATCAGAAAGAATTAATTTTAATTCATTTTATCCAATGTTTGAAACTTCTTATCTACTCTCCAGCAAGTAGAATGTATATTCTTAAAAGATATTCAGATAAATCTTATATAAAATTTATAAATTCTAGAAACTTTTTCAATAATGATTACACCACACATATAAGCCAAAATGATCCTATCATCAATCCTATTATTGATGCTAGGATTATCGATCCCTGAAATGGCGATTCTACATGAACTTTGGGGAGCCATATATGTAAAAATATTGTGGGTATTTCTATTATAAAAACAAGTATTAATCTCATGTATTCTCATTTATCTACTTTTCAGCACAGTAGTGTTGGGAATCAGAGCGTACTTCATAGTCACAAGTGTGCGTTATTTTTTTTCATCTAAATCAAGTAATTTTTTTTTTTGCGTTTTTAATAAAATATAGTTCAAAATAGCTCTTGAACTCATTTACGTACTTCGATAAAAATCAGACGCGTTACGCAACTTATCGCTGAGGATCTAAAGGCGCGTCTGATCTCGATAAAAAGTACACGGGTGAGTTTAAACGCAATTTTTATTTTTAGTATTGAAATTCGATTCTTTAATTCAACATCATCTGAGCTCAAAATATTTTGATGGCATGCACTCTAATCGCAGTGGCGTGGCGTGAATTGCGATATATCGATTGTTATGCCATTTAAACCTATGGAAAAGGATCGATAAACAGGGTGTTCGCAGCGAAAACCTTAATAATCGATTCTTTACCATACGTTTAAATGACATAACAATCGATATATCGCAATTCACGATACGCCACTGCTCTAATGATTACGCGGTTAACTTGCCTGCATTAGTAGAGTCGTCCCACTGCATCGGGGTCCTGTGTTTAAGGTGATCAAACGCATCCATGTTACTCTTTTGATCCGGGCGTAAAGGTTGATCGCTCATTGAAATCTCATCGCCGTAGTAACTGGTTGCCACTCCTGGGAGTAAAAAAGCGACCATAAAAGATGGCAGGGATATTTCTGAACCACCTAAATCGCCCGATCGACCCATATCATGACTTCCAACCTAGAACACATAATTAAATGAACCAGGGTGCACTGGTAAAAAAAAACCTCTTGGTTCAAGAGTGCAGTTTCTTGTCGCCGGATTTAAGAGTCTGGGACTCTTGTTTCAACGCAAAATCCGCTTGAATCAATGCAAAATCCGCTTGTATCAATGCAAAATCCGCTTGAAACAAGAGTTCAAGACTCTTAAATCCGGCGGCAAGAAACTGCACTCTTAAGTCAATGCAATGCGGCATTGGTCCAAGAGGTTTTTTTTACCAGTGTTTTGGAATGAGCTTGTTTAGTGATGTTTAATTTCTGCATTCTTAGAAACTGGAGAGTGCAGAGGGTTCACAGGAATTTCTCCCGATTATTTTGAACGATATTAACCCCACGAAAAACGAGCTCAAAGTTGCGTATTTTGAGCTTCCATTTAAACGCGCATCGGCGGGTCACTAAAAATGGCCCGTCGAAGAACGGCCACACTCGTTAAGTTACCTACTGCAGCGCCCTATAGTCTGTACGCTATGCGGCACGATGCCTTAAGTCCAAAACAAGCAGGAAGCTCCAACGCATTCGCGTCGGAGAGCGGCTCTGTCGACAGTAGTTGTAGTCAAGAATGAGGGCCTAGACACATTTTGTCACTGATGTACAATCCGACAACTGTCGATTCATGTTTTGTAACTTAGCAGATTTACGTAGCCGGTGTATAAATGTGTATTGGCCCTTGATATGCAGAATGCATGGCACTATCACTTGTTGTATACTTTTAATTTTGAAGGCTCTTTGGAGGTCCGCATCCTAAAAAATTTCTCCCACAGTATTTTTTTTAACTTGTCGTTGTGATTGGGCGCCGATTTCTTTCAATTGAGTGATCATCTTCTTTTTTTGTCAAATAACTAGTTTGTGCAACAATAAGACTGAAACTGGGTGTAACTGAAATTTTGTGTTTTTAGATATTTGGTTATTTTGTATTTATTAGATTGTGTATTTTCACAGCCCTGTGATAAGAAACTTTGGAATGCATGGTTGATAAGTCGTTTAGCGAGGCTGCAAAAAATTTGCATTTTTATATCTGAAATTGTAGGTAATGGTTTTGAATATCGAATTGCGATATATTACACGGTTAAGATAGGGCTATATGTCTTGTCGTAAGCGGCGACATAGAGTCGATGTCATTTCAATAATCGCCCCGATGGCCACGGTTAGACGTTTACGGTTTCCTTGGTAACCTTTGTTTGCTATCAGCTGATATCGAGTAATATGACTAGGAAGCTCCAACCCAGTGGTTGGAGCTTCCTTAACCGCGAAAACTTTAAAATTCAAATTTTCAAATTCTGAACGTAAAGTACATTTTTTCCATCACGAGATTAAAGCACAGACAAGTTTTGAATTATTGACTGTATCACCATGATTCCAAAAATACACTACACAACATAGCATTGGCTAACAATAAAACAATATGCAATAAAATAAAGTCATGACAAGGAACATAGCCGAATATGGCGCCGATTCCCATTAACCAACGCGCGGTCTCTCCAATGTAACATGGTCCAATGATACTCCCCAGCTGGGACCGTCCGGAATAGCAGCTCTAGTGCAAGCACCAGAGCCGCTAATATACGGTCAGTCTAAGCTTAAGTTTAGCGTCAGTTTGGCAATTGCTAGACAATCAAATTTCTTAAATTTGATCGATTTCAACTGACCGTTGTATTTAAATAGATAAATGGTGAGAAGACGAGTGGAATTCATTTAATTCGGAACGCGTTGATTGGTGGTCAGGATTTGGCGGCCCGCTAAATCCTGACGTTCACCAAGCAACAAACTCATCAAACTGCCAGACTGAAGCTCAGGCTGATCGTGGATTTCGGCCTCTATAGTCCAATATGGGCCCTATAGGGCGCGTCAGAGGGCAGAGGCAACTCAACGAGTGAGGCCATTCTTCGACGTGGGTTCCCCACGGCCATTTTTGGTGACCCGTCGATGCGCGTTTAAATGGGAGCTCAAAATACATAACTTTGCGCTCGTTTTTCGTGGTTTAATATTGTTCAAACGTGAACTATGCACTCTCTGGAGATTTTGTGACCGAGAATACGTTTTGCATTGAAACCTAAATTATAGTATCTTTTAGGATTTAAAACATCGAATCACTTGACTTATCCCTACATTAATTTTATAATGAAGAAGATGTACTCCAAAACCTAAAGTTTTTATTACATTCATATACTTTTCTTCCTCGTTTATAACTAAACTCGTTAGTAAGACTGATCTAATAGCTTGTTATCACTTGTTACCTAGTTTGAAATTTAAAGTATGGCAGCGGCCTTTGTGATATTAATTTTGATGTTACCCTGACGATGAGGCGTCCGCCTCGAAAAGCTTCGGTACTTTATTAATAAAATGTAAGTGTTTTTTGAAAACATTTTTTTGCATTTCTAGCACTCGGCTACCAACCCAAACCCATAACTAAGGACACACTACCACAATGGAACACAGCTAGAGCATGCATGAACATGATTTTATTTATTTATATTTGTATTTATCTTTTGAAATGATGGTCCTATATTTTTTATTTATGTACTTTATAGCGAATATACTCACTAACCGACCAACTTGGAACTCCGGATGGTGTCGAAACCCTCAATTGAGTCTGAATAAAATCTACAATGCCACTTGCATTATATGGCCTATGAAAAAAAATTGTTGGACACAGTACAAAATGTAGTCTCTTATGTGTCTCGTTACCCATGTGTTTTTGAACAAATTCAGGAGGATCAAACGATTCAAATGCCATTATCCTGGAAAAAGAAAGCATATTTCAGTGAAGAGAGCGAAAACGTATCTTTGTTATTTTTAAATGCGTTCTTTCCAGTTGAATTTCTTCTTTTATAAATTTACAGACAGTAATTCGTTACTTAAAACTGAATTCCAATGAGCAAACTAAACAAATCCATACCGAGCTAAAAGAAAAACGTTTAAACACGTTTTACCAACGGCAGGTAGAAGCATGTTCACAAGAATGACATTAAAAAGCAGTTCACCTGGATCTATTGGTTTTTCTTGTATACTCATCTAAGACCAATCGCCACTCGTCCGTTACTTCGTACATTTCCTCCTGGTTTTTACTGAACTTATGAATCTGGGCACGATAGTTATTTACTCCAACCATGCCAGGTATCCATGGGTTGTCTCTCAGCATTATATCTTCCAGCAAATGTCCAATTGCATCAACCCGAAACCCATCAACATCCAAATCTAACCAAAATTTAAGAATGCCCTGCAACAACAGAAAAAAAGCATCACGTTTTACGAGAAGGAAGACCTCCATGCCTGGAATGTCAAAAACGATTATTTAGATATAGCTGCGTGGAAACTGGAAAGCAAAAAATATCTGACACCAAGTAACATCAAAGTTGCAATAAATTATGTGATCCAAGGAAAGAATTTTTAAAATTTTGTGTCACGTCACGTGTAGTTCATTCAAGGAACGAATTAGCCACTGACGCATAAATCCCTTATTTTCGTGAAACTTCACGTCAATTCTTCAGAATAAAAATAAATAAAAATGGAAAATACTCCGTTGAGGTTCAGTTTCACAAGCGCCATGTTGAGTAATCGCTCATCTTTAGAATTGTTTTTAAAATTTCTGTGTCAACAACCCTTGGAATGATCTGGAGGTACCTGGAGCAATTCGTCATTTTCCGGCCGGAATTTCATAAGCGCTTTTTTGAATTGAAATTGTGGAATATAAGACACATTTACATACGAATACAAAAATTTTCTTTAGATGAAAAATGATTCAATATGGAGAAAACTCCTTTAAAGAGCTTGATGCAAAAACAGCTTTTTTCGCCCCCCCCTCCTCCTCTGGAATTTCTTCAGACTTCGTCTATTGATTCCTCATACTTGAGCGCTTCTTTTCCCAAATTTTCAGACCTCCAAAAATTTTTTTTTTTGGGGGGGGGGGATCTAGGGGGTGGAAGTCAAAACCTGTGAACCTCGATATCTCTCGAACGAAGGAAGATATCGAGGTCCGGTTCGGACGAAAAATCGTCTAAAATTGCATACTTTCAGATTCTAAAGGTCAAAATCCAGATATCATATTTTTAAGTTAATATAAGTGCTTTTTTCCAATTTTTACGTCTAGAAAATTTCTTTTAATGTCCTTATTGTAAGGATTTAAAAATACCTGTCTCTTGGACTAACCTTCATTGCCTCTCTCACTGCTGGATTTCGATAGTTCAGATCAGGTTCCACGGGTAAGAACTGATGTAAGTAAAATTGATTTCTTTCGTCGCTCCATTTCCACATAGAACCAGTAAAAACAGCTATCTGGAAAGTGATTTATTGAAAATGGGTCAGTTGCGCTGGTCACAGAGCCGTGTTTTAATGCTTGTGCTTGTACCTAGATTAGCTACAAATAATAAGATCTGTCCAAACAGCAGCTTTCTACGTTGAATAATATCGCCCTTTGAAAATTCGGGTTATTGACGTCATTCACCGCTGTAGTAACCCCCTTGGTTTTCTTTCACCTTGCTTTCATCCGAATTTCACGTTGAACATCCGGTGCAAATGAGTGTCACACCGACTGATGAAAGCGAGGCGGAAGAAACTAAGGGTGTCACCACCCAGAAAAAAAGGAGAAGAAAAAAAGAGTGAAGAAGAGAGGAAATATGAAAATTTTATGTTTTATTTTCATATTATTCCTCGGTGCCATTTTATGAGACATATGAAGAGCAAAGAAAACGACAAACCGAATCGGTAAATATTATATATTTCCTCTTTGGAAGAATACAAATGCCCTAAAAGATGAAAGGCTTTACCACATTCTACTCGTTGATAAGTGCGCGCATAGGCGTACCTAGGTGACTATTTGCTGGGGGGCTGCCCCCCCCCCTACCACCGTGGGGCCTCCCCTGGAAAATTTTTGAAATTTTAACTCTATTTGAGCGCATCTCGAGGCATCCGTGGCGCGAATCTTCCTTCAATTTTCGCAAAAAAATTACTCAATTTTATGCATTTTAAGGTTAAGAAAATGGACAAATGGACGTATCTCTGTCAAACGGAACTATGTGCATTATGACGTGAGCTCTGCTTTGCATATATTCTTATGAATATCAGGGCTCATATCTTAATGCACATAGTTCCGTTTGACAGAAATAAGTTCAAATTGTTGTATTCGGCAGGTTATTTTGTTTAATTTCACACCGATAACCACTCTTTAGTATGAATGTGGGAAAATGTTTCTAAAAATACCAAAATCATTATTTTTATCAGGAAAAGCCCATGTAAAGTAAAATATCGACGGTGAAACTACCAAACCACGTATCTCGGTTTGCGACGTCGCAGACTTCCTGTCATACTTTATTTTTTAAATGAAAAACTACTTAACATCCAGTCTTGAAAATTTCTGTGATTTTTCCTCTTTGTGCGGAGAAAATTCCGTGAAAATTTCAAGGAATGATATTGATTTGGTCTACTTCAAAAAAATAAAATGTGAGCGTAGATTTTTAAACACCGCAAACGAGATACGTGGTTTGGTAGTTTCACCGTCGATATAATATAATAAGCAAGACGTAACTATGAATGATTAAAAAATTTTCATCCTCTAAAAAAAGAGGTCTATGAATTTGAAAAAAATCGATTGCATTCAAATTTTTTAGAGCAATTTGACTGAATAATGAACAGAGAAGAAAAAACTAAATGTTCGAACGCGAGATTTTAACTAAAAACCATGCGCATCAAAGAAGGTGTTTTTGCACCATCCAGAATTTCTTGGGGGCCAGATGATACTATCTCTAATTCTGGGGGGGCCAGGTCCCCCTGACCCCACGCACGCCTCTGAGTACGCGAAGTACCCGAAAATGTTTTATTTTAGAGTCTATTTTTTTCACGATTCAATAATAAACCGCATTTTCTAAACATATTACCCAATTGTTCGGCGGGATAGGTTCGTTTGTCTGCGAGTCAAATTCTTTTGGATTTTCCCAGACATAAAAGTCAGTGTATGGAGCCTCCCTTTTAACAGACTTCTTGAACCACTCATGTTCATGACTCGTGTGGTTCGGGACGAAATCAATAAGAATCTTCATTCCTGTGGCATTACAAAACAGCTTGGTTTGATTAGTATTTACGCACTAGATTGAAAACAAAATAATAATAAATAAAAATGAAAGTACCTATTTCAAATTGTAAAATGACCGGAAAAGGGGTCTTTGAGCGTATAGGACGCTCTTGCTCAAATCGTCGTTTCGGATTCATTAGATCAAACCTGGATCTGTATCATCCATCTGGCAATATATCGACGACATCTGAGAAACCTATTTAAGTTGGTCCGCTTTTAACGCTTATGATTACTACTTACTATATCGTTTCAAGCATACGGCGCACAGTGGATCGAGTCAATCAGAGAAATCGGACATGGATTTTTTAACTAAAACTGCAAGTTTTGATGTTTAATTCGTCAGATTTTATATTTTAAGGGGTGTTTCTGGATGGGAATTTTACGAAAAACCCAATAAAATCGCTTTTATAATCTCAAATTGCTGTATAAACGGAGTTATGAGCTTTTAAAGTTTCCAAATCTATTCCGACCTCTTCCATTGACTCGATCCACTGTGCGGCGATGCTTTGGATCTATCTGACAGCAACGGTGGAATACTACGTATACGCGCCAACATTCAGGGAACACATCTCGCACAGCAGTGTGGGTGTTAGTCTCAAAATCGGCGATTATCTTTAAATGATAGAAAATTGATTTTCGTTCCAGACATTCACGAACTAAAATTCGTAAGTCAGTTATGTAAGTTTTAGTATCATTATTACCCTATTTCGTCATCTGATTGTCGATTAAGAAAACGAAGTGGCTATTCGTCGGTACGGTACCGACGGGTAAATGGCTATTCGTCGGTACCGTACACATTTTTATTAATTAATTTCGCCGATGCGGTACCGACGAATAGCCATTTATTCATCGGTACGGTACCGACGAATAGCCATTTATTCATCGGTACGGTACCGACGAATAGCCATTTATTCATCGGTACGGTACCGACGAATAGCCATTTATCCGTCGGTACCGTACCGACGAATAGCCTCATCCTTAAGAAAAAAAGGATAACCCAATAATTACGTCCAAGATGTCTATAAACTGATGAAAGTTCAGCAGGTATTTCCGCTGAACTGCCAACGCTCAACACATTGACGAGGTAAGTATATCTTGAATATACGGCAAATTCAATTTCTTTCGCTCTAGTTTCTAAGACGTTGCCACTTACACTAATCAAAAAATATAGGTCGGGGGAACGGGGCGGTGCCCTATAAAAGAGCCTTCTAAGAATGAGGTTAGTTGCGACGGTTTTATCTTTTTCTTTCACTGTCATGAGTATCTAGGCTGGAACAAGGGAGAATTAAATATGCAAAGTTCTTGCTTCAGCTCCTTTGGAATTTTCTTTACAACTTTAATGTGTTTTAGTTTGCTTTTTTCAACTTTTAAAAATAGGAATATATGACCGGTCTACCTCTTTTGTGAATTTCATCGATCAAATTCTTCAAATCATTCGTGGTGCCGAAAATTGGGTTGATGTCTTTTTGATCTGAAACGTCGAATCCTCCATCCAGGAAAGGGGATTTGAAAACGGACTGAACATAAACCGTGTCAAATCCCAAAGTTTGGATGTAATCCAGTTTTTCAAGTATACCTGAAATAAATGCATTTTGATCTCAAATTAATGAACAGGCTTCATTAAGTAGGATCGGGATTCGATATTCATATATATTGAATTTTCTGGAATTTTTCATTTCATGGATAACACCAAAACTTAATAGTTTCATGCAGTAAAAATCGACGGCATAAACCAGAATTACCCTGCTTGCATCTCAAGTCGCCTAACTTCTGTTCTTTACAGCACAATATGGCAATGAAATTATAGGCTTTTTCAGCTGCAGAGTGGATGATGTGCTTGATGTAATTTGATCCATTAGCAAATACTCCAGATCCAGACTTCACGTGACACTGTTAAAGCAAATGCACAGTTGACTGCACAGTTTCTCATTTGTTTCCTATCTAAAAATATACATACTTAATTTAGATCTTCTCGGACCAATTAAAGACGCCAAAATTCCCCTAATTTCGCTCATTTCGTCGCTTTTATTATTTCCAGGTTCAAGATTTCTTTAATTATTATATATTATAGCTTACGACACTCACCTTGCAAATCCCCATTACCATCATTATTTGAATCCATAAATGATCTTGTATACACTTGATAAATCGTTGCTGTCTTGTACCATTCATTTTGGTGAGATTGAACTTTTTGTAGGGGGCATAATATAACTATCATCCAGGAAATCAGACATATGGAGTAGCACATGTTGTTACCTTCGTGAGAATTGTTGAATGTTGAACCTTGAATGTTGTCTTGCAAGAAAAAAAAATTAAAAATTGCAAATTTAGCGATGAAGTAAGCGGGAAATGTTGAATCTTGGTCTGTTAGTAGGGTAAGTGAACCGAAGGTATGCTCCTTTGCTACAGACTATCCAAAAGCGCGACGAAACGCTCCGTTCCGTTTCGTGTAAGTCTTGACGTGAAAATTGAAATAAATGCCGATTTTTTCATTCGATTCTTATTGGTCCAATTGCTCGCGGCCAGTGGGAGATTGGATAAATGAGAGTCGGGTATGAAAATATTTTCATTTTCTTTGGTCGTTCTTTTGTCGACGCGGGCCTAAGAGAACGCGAAGCGTCCTCTGGGGGTTGACTAGTTAAATATATCGGTTAAAATCAAACCCTTTTACGGGGGCATACGGACAGTACAAACGGTTGTACAACTTGATTTAAAAGATCACTTATAAATTATTACTACTTTCTAAGCAATTAATGTCTGATTAAAGTCGTTCCACAACAAGCTTGCCACTTTTGCTGTGTTAAGAATAAAACTGACAGCCACGCCTGTTCTCCAAAATACTTAATAGTCCATAATATTGTTTGCAAAATATCTGAAGTTATTAATATATTGATCCAAAAATGTAAAGCATCTCTTTATGAAAAAAATAGAATGGCATACGTCAACTTTCTTGTGAAAGAAATGTTACTTACGCAGTTTATAAAATGAAAGCATAAGTTAGCCCGTCTCAATAATAAAGCCCGAATCACGCACATTTTGCGGTAAACGTGTTTTTTGACGCCCTTTATCAATCTTTTTTTGCAGGATTTTCCTCTATTTATTAAAGGAACAATGGTCTTCTCTTTGTGACGCACGTCACATGTGCCGTTTTTATAGGAAACTATCATCACTTATGCACTATTTGGGTTGTAATAATCAGTTACCTTTGATACGCAATAAAAGAGTTACTTGCATCCATTTTTTTCGTGCAATGGACACTTTACGCACCTAATACAAAATGTCACTTACGTCTTTTTCAACAAAAATATGCTCGAATATGTAAAAAGAGGATTACTCACGTCGTTTCAAGAAATGCATGTCACTGAAGCCTTTTTAGATGAAACTGCGGGGTGATTCTTAAAATGATATCGACTCTATGTCGCCGCTTTGTCATGTCGCGCCATCGACTGAGTGGCTCTTAGTCAATGGCGCGACACGACAAAGCGGTGACATAGAGTCGATATCATTTCAATAATCGCCCCGCGGTGGCAGTTACGACTATTTTCGCGCAATATCCTAAGTTCAAAATTTTATAGATGAAAGACAAAAATGCATTGTTACAAGTTTCAGACTATGATCTGGAAATCAAAAGAGAATTTATAAGTCCTCGATCTATCGAATTATCAGTATATTGATGATCGTTTGATGGACTCATTTTGATAGCTTGTTTTTTTTTTTTTTTTAAGCGATTTATGCAAGCCCTCAGCTAATACGCCAAAATAAAATAAACAAGTAAAATACTTGGAAGCTTTCAAATTGATGAAATGGATTTTTCCAAACATGCGTCGATCTGGAATACTTACGAATTAAGCCTAAAATATCACCTCACGAAAGTCAGGCCAAAACTGTTGATGGAATTTAAAATTCAATTCACACATGTAGTCTCTAAGCTATTTAAATACATGGCTCGAGTAATATAGCCGCAATGTTTTTTTTCTAATGTGAGATTAATTGTTGCAAAAACTGACGCACCGTGGAACTGTTCACTGTCGTAAAAAAGGGAAAAAAGTGGTCGCACTAAGTAAAGTGCAGTTTATATACTCAGCATGTAAGAGCGACTTCCTCTCAAAATTACTTGATGATAAAGCTTAAATTTTTAAATGCATGCCCTACAAAGTTAATCCGCGAATGAATTTTGATACCGAATTTGGGTAGCCAAGCTATTAAGGACATAATCCACAAAGATAATGTCGCAAGAGAAATGGCCGTTAATCCGCAAAGATAGGTATTGACAACTCTGCTCATATCGACCATTGGACCATCCGCCTCATGACAAAATATGATATGCTATTAGGTATGTATCGGGGTGTGCCGACAGAAATCACACTGATTGTTCCTCTTCAAAATTGTATCTTGAAACTGGTTTACACAATGAGAAGCTTGTAAATCATTTACTAAGTAGGAGTGAAGTATAAATCGATGGTGAAAGTGCGGGAGTGCTCATCTCGGTTTTCGACATTTTTGCGCTAGCTCCATAAACACGTGTTGTTGAAGATGTTCTCTATCTGCCATTGAGAGATTGTAATCGGAAAAAATTGGGAAGTCACCTAAAACCGTAGAAATGCTTTCGCGTCTCTCGTTCTAGCGCCTCCGTTTAATACGGTGTGCCTTTACACACAACAAGCTAGGGCTGTTCAATCGGTTGTCGGTAAGCCACCGAAACAGTTCCGTTAAGAAAAAGTTACGATAAGAGCGCTCTTACCGATAGCGAGCAGAGTTTTCGGAGCTGGCGAAAATAAGCTGTTTCCAATTGTACATCTATTTTACGCGCCGCCGCGCCAGGCAATCTGATAAACCGACACACGGGGCAACAATGTATTGAGTGCGAGCTCTCAAAACTCCGATAAGGCCGGCTGTTGTCGATATCATGGCCACTGTCGGTACTGCCGCCAGTTTCAATAAGAGACGATGTCGATAGTGTTCCGGCAAGAATTCGTTTGAACACCCCTACAACAAGCGCGCCTCAGCGTTTTCCGCCATCAGCCTCAGCATTATTACATTAGATGATTAACTGTTCTGTGTTGGCGCGTATACGTAGTATACCGCCTTTGCGATCGTTTCGACCCCCCACTCGATACAATGACCGAGTCCCTTAGTTCCTTACCGAAAAGTGACTACCGCGAACTTCTGAGATTTTCCAAAGCGTGTAAAAAGTTTATTTATCCGTCAATAATTATGATTTAAAGTTGTTTCTCATTCTGGGGCTCATTAGTTTATGTGCAGTGAATACCAAGAGTCTACGTTACTTGGTTTTTTTAAAAAAAAACCTTAGAATGCGACGCGCTGATTTAAAATATGTATATATAAGCAGAAGCAAGCGAACTGATTCGAGGATGGCTGATCAGGTCGGCACTTGTTGAATGAGAATTTCACTTCTTCGTTTTGTTCAAAACGTTGCTTTGACAGATCTCCATACCCCTATTATCCTTTTCAAAAGTTGGTACCCCTTGCTCTGATAGCCAGGGCCAGCAGGATAGTGGTAAGTGCAATCTGTGATGAGCCTCGAGACTCATTAGACCATGTGCTAACCGTGGCCCATACAGAAATTCACTCCCCTATCAGGCCAAAACAGTGCACAGGCAGGCACAAAACCCAGGTAGTGTCCCGGTCCTGGCTCGGTTCGCCGCGTCGCTTCCCAGCTGAAGAACAAAAGGCGACCCTCGCGGCCCTCGCCACAGTCAGACCTAATTACTTTCACTCGATTACCCATTTCACCGTCACGGTGGGATCCGTCAAATTTTCGAAAAAATTGTTTCGCGAGTACTTAGCAATTTTTTCCTTACTCTCCGTTCAAAGACGAATTGAAAGAGGTCTCATTCATAAAAATCGGCCGAATAGAAGAGAAGTTACAGTATTCAAAATCCGAAGAAATCAACGAAACTTCTCCATACAAAAAATAAAATGAAGGGGAAAAAAGAAATGTATAAATTACAATTAAATATACTTGACCTCAGAATTTGGCAAGCAATTCAACTATATAACGGAGAAAAAATTGGGAGAAATTACAAAAAATTCGCCTCTTGCAAGGGGCTTCCTTGTTAGAATTTTAATCTGAAGGCAAGGATTGAACACCAGCGCAGTACTCCATACAATACATGGTGTGCCTGAACGAACATTTTTTTTGTGTGTCAAAATCGGAAATTCTTTATATTTTTTAACTACAGTGTCTCTTGAGTCGTTTAAGCAAAAAAAAAAAATTCCGTCAAGATTCTGGAAAGGAAAGGCGCTTTAAAAGTATTCTGGGGCTATGTATCCTAACTGTGTCCACACATGGTTTCTGTTCAGCATATCCATGTGTAAGTATTTTTACACGTAGAATCTAATTTTCACGTCAGGGAGTCGACACATCTCGATTTTTTCCATTTTATACGGAAAATTGATGGTTTTTCGGGATTGAAATTATTATTGTTTCATGAAAAATAAATGCACCCAAAATGACTATAGCATATTGATTTTTACACATTTGCACTCACGAAATTGGTTGGTAAATTCACCGAGTGGGTGCATCGACCTGGTATATCAAGTTTCTGCAATTTTTTACGGCAAATCAGTAAATTTTCGGGATGTAGATTGCTTACTTTCAATTCATGAATGAATAAAGCAACGACATGGTTGAACTTCTTTGCATGGAAAGACGTTTGAAATAACAAAATCAAGACATATTTAATGTAGTTGCATTTATATCGAGTCAATTTCTTTTAAATAATATAACGGGACTTATACTACCGGTGATTTGGGTATTCCAGCCTCAAAATACCTCCAAATCGACTTTATCTTCTAGGAGTTCGACAGAATTTTTCCTTTTTTCGCTTAAATTATTCCGTAGCACTTTTCTTCAAGAATCTGATAAGATTTTGCTTGAGGCAGATCAAAAAACTTAAATTCGATCGAATAGCTTTCTACATTCACAATACACGGTCTCGTCAAGGTGCGTCGTTGACCTCGCAGTGTTGGATCGTGAATTCTCTTGTTGTGCTGCTTGCCTATTTTGAAATCTCTGTAAATGAAAACTAAAGGGGTTGATATGTGCGAGTTAATGACGCGCCTTATCAACACATTGTGTTGGAGTTCACTGCTTGTTTTTATTTATTTTCTCACTCTCGGGATTCTCGCATAGGAATTTGAATACAATAATTACACATTGGTCCCCTATTAACTTACGGCTGTTAGAGTTCAGGCAGTCCAGCCTGCGTTAAATTATGAACAATAATGTAAAGACAAAGATGCAATCATAAGCTAAAGTTCATAAGAACGGTCAGCTGTATTGGAGTCAATCGAATCATACAAATGACAATGCTTGATCTGGCTATATATGGGGTTAACTAAACCTTGCAAACAAGTTTTAAGTATGAATAACAATTTTTTACCTTAAGGTGATTCGATGGACGCCCCATTCTGTGTCAGAACGACATGCAATACATCGCATCAATTGGTTCCATTTTTTCAGCTACTCGTCATTTTTCTCCAATTTTGAGATCGCAATTCTGTTGTCAGGAGACTAAAGCACTCACTTTCTAATTTTAACAAAGAAATTCAACGTAATAAAGGCGTGGTTTTTTTAGAGAGAAAACATCGCATGCGATACTGATATCGAAATTCCACTCGAATGCGATATTTTCTCTCTAATAAAACCACGCCTTTACTACGTTGAATTTCTTTGGTAAAATTGGTAAGTGGGTGCTTTCGTCTCCTGACAACAGAATTGCGATCTCAAAATTGGAGAAAAATGACGAAAAGCTGAATAAATGGAACCAATTGATGCGATATATCGCATGCCGTTCTGACACAAAAGATGGCGTCCATCGAATCACCTTAATGATCAAGAGCAAGTTCAAAACACGAATCCCAGAAATGCATATCTCGTGATCAAAAGTCAGTTCCCAATCATACGATGCTTGATGCAGCCGTATGAGATCAAACTAAAGCTTCCAATATGGAATTGTAAATGCGAAATTCTTTTTTCGGTCCTACAATTATCAAAATCCGCCAACAACAGGTTTAAATCAATATTTGCACAAATGCGTAACTCGTGATTTAGTGTCAATTCTTGGTGCCGAAAACGAGAATCTCGGTATTCCTGCCGTATTTTCAAACAGTTCGAAAAATTATGCAAAATGCTGATGGAGTCCGAAAAGGCATTTTATTATTGATATTTTCAAGAATTATTTCTCTCCTACTAACAATAAATTGGAGTGTAAACAGTTTTTTTGCCCTCCCTATAAAACGTGTTCTCCGAAATACGCACTTCTGCAGTTTCACCATCGATACCGGGTAGTACCGGATGTATACCGGGTATCTCAGAGCACCCGTCCACTATCTTTCTCTCGGGGCCGAAATTGTAGCTTTGGGACGAAAACTTATGGGGGCAAATCAACCCCAAAGAATTCAATGAAAATATTTTCAGCCTCCAAAATCCCATTTTGGGAGGGTTTTAAGGGGGATGCCGGGGTGCCCCCCGTTTCTCGCGTATTTCAAATAGCAAGGGTGTGTGTTGACTTCAGATTTGTATTTTATGCGAAAAGTTACGTAGAGTTGATTTGGCACACGACCTATTTGCCTTAAATTACTTTAGAACTCCATTTTTCCATAAGAAGCCGTGTATTTTTGGAGGAAAAAAGGGACAAAGAAAATTTGGGGCAAATAGGCCAGGCGCTATGTCTATGCTATGTAACTTTTCACGTAAACTCCAAATCTGAAGTCAAGTTATACCCTTGCTTCTCGAAATTTTCAATTTACGGCCCTCCAAAGACCCAAAATTGTTGGGGAATCGTGGCCCCCATAGTTTTTTTTATGCGATTTGCTCGAGGCAAATTAATAAATACTTAAAAATTAAAGAATTTTATGGACACAGAGAAAGATCTGATGGGCTCGAGAAAACGGGCAGATGGTCCTTTTATCACCAAAAAATATATTCAGTTAATTTTGTAGGTTTTGGGCTTGAGTTTATCAGAGAGGGTGAAAAAATTATGCGACTGTCCAGGTCTGAAATGATGCGTATTTGATGTGTTATTATATGTATCATTGTATCGATACATAGGATTTTCGGATATCGCTAAACATATAATTCAATGTTGT